AGAGCGTGTTTGGGATTCAGAATTTATTAGTCACCGCTGTGAAAACCTCAAATCACACAATAATAATAATTTCAGTCTCCTTCACAGCTGTTTGTTTCAGCCGGGGCATATATAGTGCGTTCGGAGACATGGATGAGAACGATGTCAGGCTTAGTGGCTGTTAACTGCTTGGTAGTCCGGAACGATTAGTTCCAATAAATTTTACATTTATCGTTTTCAACAACGGACTCAGTGTCCCCAGGAGCGTACGGCAAAACGGGTGTCTTATCTATGCTGTAAAAGTGTCTCAGGTGGTAACAGAGTACACGAAAAGCAGCGTTATGTCGATGAATGTAGGCGCAGCTGGCACAGTGTCTACATGCAGACAGAAGTTGCATCAACGTCTCTGGTTGCATTCGGCATGCCCTGCAGACAGTATCCACTACCCATCACCATTCGGCGGTACACAAGTGTGTTTACAACACCATCTTGGCACGCGAAGATGAAACCCTCGGTTTCAGACTTTAGTCCAGCCGACCGTAGAAAAGCGAACGTCAGGTCTTTCGACAAGCCCATTTTTTCTACATTTTTGAAGAAGGCCCCCATGCATGGGTTTATCTGCATGTTGCTTGAGCAACAAAGTTTGATCAGCTTTCTTAACAGTGCCCTTGAATTGGTCTGACGTCAGTGTCAAGAGGGGCAACTGTCTTCGCTGTCCAACTGAGCTGGTGTCGAAGTCAAATCCGAGGTCATTTGCTGCTCTCTTTGCCGCCTGGAATATAATCGCCCCTACACCCGCAGACTCATGCGAACATACGAATGTCAAGAGGGGATCAGAGCTATTAATGATGGAATGAGCTGTACCCAGAACTATCCTGTTGTGAAGATTCTTCAGACCCAAGAGACCTCTACCACCAAGATGACGCGGGAGGTATGTGCGTTGGACAGAAGATTTAGGGTGAAGACTTCGGTGCATGGTCATCATTTTTCTGGTGGCCCTGTCCAGGTTTTTCAACTCGTTAACTGTCCTCTTCATTGCTCCAAAAGTATAGAGCAGGATCGGAACAGCAAGGATGTTGGTGGCAGTGACTTTGTTTCTACCAGAGA